ACAAACTCTGCAAAAGTTCTGAACACAGTACGTATTCTCTTTTTCTTCAGCCCCTGGAACTCAAACCTATGCAATTTGTGTGGCATAAGAGTCTGGGCAGGTGGAGGGAGAAAGTCACTCATCAAATCTCAAGCCTGGCAGACAAAGGCCTTTATCAAGTTACCTTTTTGGAAGTTCCTCATGGTGTGGTGGTGATTTTGTTTGTTTGGTTTTGGGTTGTTATTTGTTTTGCGGGGGGAGGCCCAAATTTGTTTGAACTGGTCTTGCCTGAGGCTCCTGTCGCATGCAGTACAACAGTTACATTGTGTGGGAGGGATAATATCTTTATATCTGCAGCACAGAACCTGCATGTATGCATTTAAACTGGCTCGGCAGCCTGGAGACATCACAATTAAACTTGGATAGTTTTCAATGTGGAAAATTGTATATGCTTAAAGTGGCAGTGGAAGAGGCGGGGGAGGAATAGATAATGAAACAGTGGAGGAGGACCATGGGGTGGGCACCACAGTTAAAACTGGGCTGTTTTCCATGTTGAATTTCTGATGCAATAAGAGGGCACGACTTCAGTTTTATATCTCATCCAAGAATGGCACCTCTAGCAGCCAAGTAACCACTTCTGATGCCTTTTGTTCAAAGGCAACTCTCTCTCAAGTATCACCTACTAAATCACCAATACCACTTCCTACAACACCCTGGGTTTTCATTTAGAGGTATTCCATCCAAAGTTCTCACCACCCAGACCTGGAATAAGGTCCTTCAGGGCCAGAGAAGATTGAAGTCCTACCCCATACCCTTACCCGACCCAGATCCTCTTCTGTTTTTCCAATATAAATTAATTAAACTAATTGGACATAACCTCACAATCCCTTCCCCACTTCATATTATTTATATTTGACCTTTTAGAATGTACTTTACTCCCTTTCTTAGGCTTGGTCTACACTAAACCCCCAAATCGAACTAAGGTACGCAACTTCAACTACGTGAATAACTAAGTACCTTAGTTCGAACTTACCTTGGTCCACACGTGGCAGGCAGGCTCCCCCGTCGACTCCGCGGTATTCCTCTCGTCTAGCTGGAGTACCGCAGTCGACGGCGATCACTTCCTGGTTCGACTTATCGCGTCTAGACAAGATGCGATAAGTCGAACCCAGAACTTCGATTGCCAGCCGCCGAACTAGCGGCTGGGTGTAGACATACCCTTACTCACCAATTTAATATGAAACTATAAATGCCTATTCTGGAGGCCCCCTTGACTACAATGTCCCATCTAAGATAGCACCCCAACCACAGAGAAGCTGAGGTGTGCCTTAGCAACACTTATGTGACCAGCAGCAGTCATCCTGAACCTGCTTCAAAAATGGTTTGATTACACTGCCTTGGCTTTCCATGTGGACAGCTTTCTTGGACCTACATTTGCCTGTAATGGAAAACTGCAATTTTGGGAAGCAGGAAGGAGAGAATTACATCAAATACATATTTAAATTAGAAATAACAATATATTCTCTATGTTAAGTGAATACATCTTTTTTGCAATCTGCTTGGCCTTTCACCTTCTTTAGTCCTTTACACCCCTTCTAAATTAAACACCTCCGACAGTAGGAGTGGAGAATTTTGATTTGTTAGCTTTTTACAACTACTTTACATGTAAATAACTACACAAGGTTCAAGACACTTTATTCCCCATACATTTTATTCAAGATCACTTTCACAACTGAAGTGTCACATACCCTTATGGCCCTCTATGATTCTGTTTCCCCATCTGCAAAATAGGGATAATAATATCATCTTTGCAATACTCCCTTGAGATAGGAAAAAATAATAATTGTTTGTGAGGCGCTCAGATGCTACAGTAATTAGTGCCATAGAAAAGACTTTAAATAAATATGTCATAATTTCAGCATGAAATTTTCAAATAGCCATATTTTGTTAAATCAAACCAGACAAAAGTACATCTTCTCTGAGCACAAAATCCATGCCAAGTTTCAAACTTCTGCCATTTTTCCCACAGGCATTTATGAGAATGGTGTTAGAAATCTTCTTTAATAGAAAAAGAGAGTTTCATTCTCCATAACCCAAAAACAGTTCACAGAATTTTGCTCAAGCTTTCAAACAAAAAACAAACAAAATATCTTTGTGCCACGAACAAACATGAAAAATGCCACCTTTGAGAGAGAATATTCCAGAAAGATTTGAACACATGAGAAGAGAGGCTTGACTTGTGCAGGAGAGCATCACTAGATGATCACGATGGTCCCTTCTTACCTTAAAGTCTATGAGTCAATGAGACTTGCAATATTAAGGCCCAGTCCTGCAAGGATTGGATTCTCAAATACTGCAGATACTGGTACCAACCAAGATAGTTTTGACTGACTAACATGAAAAAAGACAATGATTCCCAACAGTGACTAGCAGCTGCCAGTACAGTTTCTTCACTTGTATTACTAGCCCCAAGGGATAAAAAATCACAAGTCAGGCCTTCCCAAATCATCAAATTTTTAAAATTACTTTTGGATGGGGACTATGGAAGACGTTTATTTGCTTCTGTTTTTGAGCCTTTAAAGTTCATGTTTTCAAGCTTTTCTACACACCAATTATGGCTGGAAACTAGAAATGTTCACATAATTGCATGACTCTAGGAGCTAGGACCTTTAAGAAAACAGCATATATTGAGAGATTCATGATGAAACCACAAGATCCAGCAATTTTACTTCACACTTCTAGGGCTAGTTTTACAAATCTTAGACTACCAGACCCAAAAATACCATATCTAGCTTCCTCCTTTATTCCCTTCTAAAAAGCCTTTTCACTAAAGATTGATTAACCACTGCTGCCTATCTCTCATTGACTGACCTGTGGTGTCCTAACCCCTGATGAAGTTTTGGTTTCAAAATGGCCCGAGGTACAACATGGGCAGCAAGACCAATGCATGACATACTAGGGTTCTGAAGCAGTACAGTCAGTGTCACAATGACTGAGAGGAGAAATAAGAAGGGCACTGTTCTCCTTTTGAGATTGTTCTCCATTGTCATCCTATTGGAGTCCCTCTCATGCACTTACTTCCCCGAAACTTTTCTATGCAGTTGCAGTAATGGGTCCAAACTATGCAGCAGGTGACTGCAGCAGACAAACCCTGGGAACAGACCAGACCAGTGGCACCGCTATGGGCACCCGCATGGCCCCACAATATGCCAACATCTTTATGGCTGACCTGGAACAACGCTTCCTCAGCTCTCGTCCACTCACACCCCTTCTCTACCTACGCTACATTGATGACATCTTCATCATCTGGACCCATGGGAAGGAGACCCTGGAAGAATTCCACCATGATTTCAACAGCTTCCACCCCACCATCAACCTCAGCCTGGACCAATCTACATGGGAGGTCCACTTCCTGGACACCACAGTACAAATAAGCAATGGCCAGGTTAACACCACCCTATACCGAAAACCCACCGACCGCTATGCCTACCTTCATGCCTCCAGCTTCAACCCCGGACACACCACACGATCCATCGTCTACAGCCAAGCACTGAGGTACAACCGCATCTGCTCCAACCCCTTAGACACCTACAAGATCTTCACCAAGCATTCTCTAAACTACGATACCCACACAAGGAAATAAAGGAACAAATCAACAGAGCCAGACGTGTACCCAGAAGCCTCCTGCTACAAGACAGGCCCAAAAAAGAAACCAACAGAACTCCACTGGCCATCACCTACAGCCTGCAGCTTAAACCTCTCCAACGCATCATCAGTGATCTACAACCCATCCTGGACAATGATCCCTCACTTTCACAGACCTTGGGAGGCAGGCCAGTCCTCGCCCACAGACAACCTGCCAACCTTAAGCATATTCTCACCAGCAACCACGCACCGCACCATAACAACTCTAACTCAGGAACCAACCCATGCAACAAACCTCGATGCCAACTCTGCCCACATATCTACACCAGCAGCACTATCACAGGACCTAACCAGATCAGCTACAATATCACCGGCTCATTCACCTGCACGTCCACCAATGTTATATATGCCATCATGTGCCAGCAATGCCCCTCTGCTATGTACATTGGCCAAACTGGACAGTCACTACACAAGAGGATAAATGGACACAAGTCAGATATCAGGAATGGCAATATACAAAAACCTGTAGGAGAACACTTTAACCTCCCTGGCCACACAATAGCAGATGTTAAGGTAGCCATCCTACAGCAAAAAAACTTCAGGACCAGACTCCAAAGAGAAACTGCTGAGCTCCAGTTCATTTGCAAATTTGACACCATCAGATCAGGATTAAACAAAGACTGTGAATGGCTATCCAACTACAGAAGCAGTTTCTCCTCCCTTGGTGTTCACACCTCTACTGCTAGCAGAGCACCTCACCCTCCCTGATTGAACTAACCTCGTTATCTCCACACTGATTTATACCTGCCTCTGGAGATTTCCATTACTTGCATCTGAAGAAGTGAGGTTCTTACCCACAAAAGCTTATGCTCCCAATACTTCTGTTAGTCTTAAAGGTGCCACAGGACCCTCTGTTGCTTTCTACAGATTCAGACTAACAAGGCTACCCCTCTGATACCTGGGAACAGGGACTCTGATCAGGTCACACTCCCCAGTGAGAGGCACTGACCCGACTGGGGAGAAATAAAAAGGGGCCACGCTTTCCCAAGCTCTGCCCATAGGAGAAGCAGATCTACAAGGTGCCACTCACAGCAGACTTTGCAGCTCTCCTTCCCTTTGCACTGTGCGCACTAGTGCAATAGCGGGACGCCATCATTAGGGTTCCGAGTCAAGGCTCCCAGGAGCAACCTCGGCCAGGGGGAAGATCGGGAGCAGGCCTGACTGCATGGGCACCACAGCACAATTAAACACAGCGTCTGGAGGAGGTAGAGGGACTCGCGTGACTCGGCTCTGCGCCCAGTCCACCTGGCAACGGTGCTGAGGGAACCCGAGTCCCGCTCAGCCCGGGGGAACCAGCAGGAAAGGAGGGCGGTTACCTGAGCCGCACGGCGAAGCTGCCGCGGTCCGGGTCTGGAGGAGGAGCCGCGGAAGTCGGGGGGCTCCGGCTGGTGAGGGCGGGCGGCGCCAGGTGCCGGGGAGCAGCCGCTGCCCACGCCAGCCCGAGGCTGTGCTGCTGCACGATCCAGCCGCGTCCGGTCGCCATAGTGACACCGGAACCCGAACGCCCCGGACCAGCGTTCCAAGCGGCCCGGTTGCCTCTGCCTGGCCTTGCACGGGCAGCCGCGGCGCGAGGGCGGAGTTGGAGTTGGGCAGGGGGTGGCTGCAGCCGACGGGGCCGCTGCGGCCTCTCCCCAGCCTGAAGTTACTGACTGCAGCCCATTGAAGGGCCTGGCTCTTCCACACATCCTGGTTACAGGCGTTCAGCTGCCCCTCACGCACACAACACATTTCAGCCCAGAGAAGGTCCCAGTCTAGGGTTCTATCTGGTAATGAGCCCCACACTCTGTAAGGGTTGCAGTTCAGTGCAGAGCAGCTTCACCCCCAACCGCACCCTAAAACATCCCTGGATTCAGCCACCCCCATAGTGGGCAACAAAAAGATAAGCACATTCCCCTAGTTTATAGCCCTCTGCTCCAGAACCCAGTTCAGTGCTCCCACCGTTGCTTCTCCCAAATGCCCACTGCCTCAGGCATCTCTATGCTCCCCTGCTTATGCTCCCTCATTTCCTCCTCCTTCCTATCCTCCATTTTCCACAGCAGCAAAACCACCAGTTTCCCATCTGCACCCCATATTCACCTGCATATGCACGGACAGCCCAGCTCCCTCTCCCTACAACACCCCACATTGTCCTACACACACACCAGTTTCCCCCTCTTTCCTGTCATCCCTTTGGAGCAGATTCAGTGCAATGGATAAATTTTTGGAAAGAAGAATATGGGATTAATAATGGTCGACTCATTTTTGCCATTTTCATCGCTGAAAGCTTGTCTGCAGAGGCTGCTGCATCAAACCAGGGGCCGCTAACAGGGAGTTTCAAGAGGGAGTTTGGATGGGGAGTGGGAAGGGGGTGAGGTACACTTGCCATTCTTTAAAACCTTTAGCCTAAACTATAATCAAATCTTCTTGATTTAAACAAAAACCCTATCATTAGCCTAGGTAGCTGTAGGAGAGAATGCAGGCAGAAGCCCAGCAGCAGATTGGGGGCTATCCAGTGTATTGCACTGAGTGCAGCATGTATGATTACTTGCCCTGTGGGCAGGTGGCATATGTGTGCATTCGGTGCAAAGAGCTCCTGTCCCTCAGATCGAGTACGGGCTTTGGAGGCCAGGGTGGCAGAACTGGAGGAGCTAAGGGAGGCAGAGAGGTATGTTGATGAGGCTTTCCGGGACACTGTAGATTTGTCCCACCTCCGGTCAGACAGCCCCTGCGCTGTTAAGGAGGATGAAAGGCTCAGGGAAGGAGAGCAGTCAATGGAAGCAGAGGGAAACCTTCCCATAGTTGGGACCCTCCTTCCAGATGATGTTGAGGTATCCTCTCACACTGAGGTTACTTCTCCGGGGGAGGGAACTCCAGTCATTAGGAAAAGGCAGGTGTTAGTAATGGGAGATTCGATCATTAGAAACATAGATAGCTGGATTTGTGATGACGCGGGAGAACCGTATGGTGACTTGCCTGCCTGGTGCGAAGGTTGCGGATCTCTCGAAGCATCTAGATAGACTTATGTGTAGTGCTGGGGTGGAGCCGGTGGTCGTGGTACATGTAGGTACCAATGACACAGGGAAGGGTAGGAGAGACGTCCTGGTTAAATTTAGGCTGCTAGGAAAGAGACTGAAATCCAGGACCGCTATGGTGACATTCTTAGAAATGCTTCCAGTTCCACGGGCAGAGCCAGGTAGGCAGGCAGAGCTTCAGAGTCTCAATGCATGGATGAGACGATAGTGTAGAGAGGAGAGGTTTAGATTTATTAGGAACTGGGGAAACTTTTGGGATAGGGGGAGCCTATACAGGAAGGATGGGCTCCACCTAAACCAAAGTGGAACCAGACTGCTGGCACTTAACATTAAAAAGGTTGCAGAGCAGCTTTTAAACTAAAAGATGAGGGAAAGCCGATGGCTGCAGCGGAGCACGTGGATCGGACAGAGACTTCTCTTAGAGGAGAGTCTCTTGATAGAGATTCTCTAGGTTCTAGTCAGGAGCAGAGGATGGAAGAGGATAAAGTATGAGCCAGATCAGACGAGAAACATTCACATGAAAAAGAATCTGACACATCAGAAAAGGGCAGACAAATAAACAGTGACAAGTTTTTAAAGTGCTTGTACACAAATGCTAGAAGTCTAAATAATAAGCTGGGTGAACTAGAGTGCCTCGTGTTAAAGGAGGATAGTGATATAATAGACATCACAGAAACCTGGTGGAGTGGGGACAATCAATGGGACACAATCATTCCAGGGTACAAAATATATCAGAAGGACAGAACAGGTTGTGGGGAGGGATTGGCACTATGTGTGAAAGAAAATGTAGAATGAAATGAAGTAAAAATCTTAAATGAATCCACATGTTCCATAGAATCTTTATGGATAGTAATTCCATGCTCTAATAAGAATATAACAGTAGGGATCAACACTGGTCTACAATTTTTGAGAAGTCGTCTGCTTCAGAGATAAAATGTGCTATTTATTATGTATTTGGATGTGCTGAATTCAAATATGACAATTAAAACAACTGATTGGCTACTGTTTCTAAGATATTTAAGTTTTTACATTTTATGTCTATGTATATTGTGTAGATAGTAGAGTTTTAATCATAAATTGTAAACCTAGGTCTTTTCATGTGTTTATGGTTGCTTTACATGATAATATTTCACCTGTCCTGTTTATGTAACACTTTAAAAATCAGCAAAAGGGTTATATAAATAAAATTTATTATGAAACAAAAGGCAAAAAACTATTCTGTACATAGTTTAGTCCTATTCAGTGTCTACTCGGCGCTTCTTGGCTTGTCTCTTGTATTCATTAAATGGAGCATCTCTTGTCACTGTCCAGCAATAGTCTGCAAGCATTGATGGG